TGAAATCTGGCAGACGGATGTCAAAACGAGTTTCCTTACCGGTTTTCGTAAGGAAAGGTTGTATGTGATACAATCAAAAAGTTTTTGTCGATCCTAAGGATGCTAAAAAGGTATGCTGGCTCCAGCGATCCTTCTAAGGACTGGAGTAAGCATCTCGGAGTTGGAATATACGCTTTGATGAAATGATCAAAGATTTTGGGTTTATACAAAGTTTGTGAGAAATTTGTATTTCCAAAGAAGTGAGTGGGAGCACTATAGAATTTCTGATAAGTATATGTTGTTGACATATTGTTGATCAGAAATGATGTAGAATTTCTGGAAAGCATATAGGGTTATTTGAAAAGTGTTTTTCAATAGAAAACCTGGATTAAGCTACTTGAACATTGAGCATCGAGATCTATAAGGATAGATCAAAATGCTTAATAATACTTTCAAATGAGCACGTACCTTAACATGATCTTGAAAGTGTTCAAGATGGATCAGTCAAAGAAGAAGTTCTTGCCTGAGTTGTAAGGTACGAAGTTAAGACTTAAAGCTCGACCACGGCAGAAAAGAGAGAAAGGACAAAGGTCGTCCCCTATGCTTTAGACGTAGGCTCTACAGTATGCTATGCTAAGTACCAAGGTGACCAAGGAGTGGATCACCAGATAGCGATCAAAATTATCCTTAGAGGAATAAGGATTTGTTTCTCGATTATGGAGGTGATAAAGAGTTAGACGTAAAGGGTTACAACGATACACGCTTTAACACTTATCCGGATGACTCTGAGTAGCAAACCGGATACGTATAATGGAACAACCATTTGGAATAGCTCCAAGTGGAGCGTGGAAGCAGCATTCACAATATGACATAGAGATTTGCGAAGTACATACGGATCTGAATGTTGCAGACCCGTTGACTAAAACTTTTCTCTCAAGCAAAACATGATCAAACCCCAGAACTCATTGAGTCTTAATCACATGATGATGTGAACTAGTTTAATGACACTAATAAACTCTTTGGATGTTGGTCACATGGCGATGTGACCTGTGAGTGTTAATCACATGGCGATGTGAACTAGATTATTGACTCTAGTGCAAGTGGGAGACTGTTGGAAATATGCCCTAGAGGCAATAATAAATAAGTTATTATTATATTTCTTTGTTCATGATAATCGTTTATTATCCATACTGTAATTGTATTGATAGGAAACTTAGATACATGTGTGGATACATAGACAACACCATGTCCCTAGTAAGCCTCTAGTTGACTAGCTCGTTGATCAAAAGATGGTTACGGTTTCCTGACCATGGACATTGGATGTCATTGATAACGGGATCACATCATTAGGAGAATGATGTGATGGACAAGACCCAATCCTAAGCTTAGCACAAAGATCGTAGTTCGTATGCTAAAGCTTTTCTAATGTCAACTATCATTTCCTTAGACCATGAGATTGTGCAACTCCCGGATACCGTACGAATGCTTTGGGTGTACCAAACGTCACAACGTAACTGGGTGGCTATAAAGGTGCACTACAAGTATCTCCGAAAGTGTCTGTTGGGTTGGCACGAATCGAGACTGGGATTTGTCACTCCGGTTAACGGAGAGGTATCTCTGGGCCCACTCGGTAGGACATCATCATAATGTGCACAATGTGACCAAGGAGTTGATCATGGGATGATGTGTTACGGAACGAGTAAAGAGACTTGCCGGTAACGAGACTGAACAAGGTATCGCTATACCAACGATCGAATCTCGGGCAAGTACAATACCGCTAGACAAAGGGAATTGTATACGGGATCAATTGAGTCGTTGACATCGTGGTTCATCCGATGAGATCATCATGGAACATGTGGGAGCCGACATGGGTATCCAGATCCCGCTGTTGGTTATTGACCGGAGAACGTCTCGGTCATGTCTGCATGGTTCCCGAACCCGTAGGGTCTACACACTTAAGGTTGGATGACGCTAGGGTTATAAAGGAAGTTTGTATGTGGTTACCGAATGTTGTTCGAAGTCCCGGATGAGATCCCGGACATCACGAGGAGTTCCGGAATGGTCCGAAGGTAAAGATTTATATATGGGAAGTCTTGTTTTGGTCACCGAAAAAGTTTCGGGTTTTATCGGTAACGTACCGAGACCACCGGGAGGGTCCCGGGGGTCCACCAAGTGGGGCCACCGGCCCCGAAGGGCTGCATGGGCCAAGTGTGGGAGGGGACCAGCCCCAGGTGGGCTGGTGCGCCCCCCCCCACAAGGGCCCAAGGCGCCTAGGGTTTGGGGAGGGGGTGCTTCCACCTAACTTGGGGGGCAAGTTTCCCCCTCTCCCCCCTTGGCAGCCACCCTTAGATGGGATTGGGGCAGCCGCACCCCTTGGGGTGGAAACCCTAGAGGGGGCACACCCCCTCCCTCTCCCCTATATATACTTGAGGGTTTTGGGGCTGCCAACACATGAGTTTCCTCTCCTGTTGGCGCAACCCTACCTCTCTTCCTCCTCATATCTTGCGGTGCTTGGCAAAGCCCTGCTGGACTACCACGCTCCTCCATCACCACCACGCCGTTGTGCTGCTGCTGGATGGAGTCTTCCTCAACCTCTTCCTCTCATCTTGCTGGATCAAGGCATGGGAGACGTCACCTGGCTGTACGTGTGTTGAACACGGAGGTGCCGTCCGTTCGGCACTAGGATCTCCGGTGATTTGGATCACGACGAGTACGACTCCTTCAACCCCGTTCTCTTGAACGCTTTCGCTTAGCGATCTACAAGGGTATGTAGATGCACTCTCCTTCCCCTCGTTGCTGGTTTCTCCATAAATAGATCTTGATGACACGTAGGAAAATTTTGAATTTCTGCTACGATCCCCAACACCCTTGCCCCGAGGCAAGCATGCCATTAAGCTGATGAGACCAGGTGTGGCTACAGTGATCTCCTACTAGGCGGCGAGACTGTAGCCACGCTGAGGATGACCAAGCTCTCTCCACCGACGACACGGCTATAGTAAGCAGTCACCAACCAGTCGGCAGGGCCCACCAGGCGGCAGGCCCCAACGTCGGCGGAGAAGCCAGAGGCCGGAGACACTGACAGCCGGGCCGAGCACCCGGCTGGATTACCATTGTACCCCTGGGGGTAGACCTATATAAACCCCCCAGGGCACCCATGCAAAGGGTTCCAACCCAGATAAAACTAGTCAGATACCTAGGGCAGGGGAAGAGCTAGCCTTGCCTTCTCCTACCTCTAGACACAGCTCAAGGAGCACTTTGTATCATTAATGCCTTAGTGATCATGCGGAGACCCCGCAGAGCAGGAGTAGGGGTATTATCTCCACAGAGAGCCCCCAACCTGGGTAAAGTTCGCCGGCATACGTGTCTACGCCTTATCCCACTTCCAGGCATCGGTGACGTTCTACTAGCTCCCACCATGCTAAGCCATCCTTTGGCATATGTCGCACCCAACCCCCGACAATCTGCGTCATAGTGTCTAGGTGCAGAAATCTCACTAACTGATAAACATCACCAAAAGGAGGAGGTCAGGTGTGCCTTGGAGCTGCGACACCATGGAAATCCTCTGCACTGGGGAGCAGTGGGGTCAACAGCTGCAAGAAATGGACTGTCAGCATACACAACAAATGCAAGCACACACAGAGGAGGGAGACAAACCTGTAGGTTAGCAGCCTCAAGAACAGCCACAATCGGCACATTGGGTTGGAAGCCCTTGCGCAAAGGGCGCGACAAGCGTGATGGGTCAGGGGGCTCGGTGGTGAAGGGCGAAGGAGAAGGTGGAGGCGTGGCAGAGCATTTTCACATGCTTCCCTACATGTTCATGTTACAACAGTGTTAGAAAAACCAGTATCTTGAATGTAAGGCACCAACGTGACTGTTAAAGTTTTGCCGAATTGAACCCCAATGCTAAATACATATGCAGTAGGATTGATCTGCAGCACAGTGATGACAACAATTTCAACACACAGTGTACAACTTTGCATCTTCCAAACTCGCTGAGTAGAGTGCTTTTCCCAGTCCTGGTACTTTGCCTTGCAAGAAACTGTCAAATGTCCTCTGCCATTTTGTCCCTTGAATTTGAGGACTTCAAGAGATCAGACGCCTGTTTCCAAATCAATATGTCAAGTAAACACAATCATCAAAATTACATAATCACCCGAGTTCACTGATGAACTATAGTTACACTTGTCATTTAAACCCATAGGTAATCAAAGAAGAGCTCGGTTATCACCATCTTTCTGATGATAATTAATAGTGAAACCATTTCATCTGATGATAATTACTGATGTCAAAGTGAAGGTCAATGGATTCAGTTCAATTCCACCTATACAGACATTCAGGAACACGCAGATAGCATCGCCCAATTGATGTGCTAGACTACAACTCACACACACGGGTTGTCGAGAAGTTCAGAAGAACGAGAAAAAGGGAGGACAAGAAGGGCTACATGCGGAGGAAAAAGATAAGCTTAACAAATAAACAGGGAAGCAGGGCATTAGATACTACATGTAAGACTACAGTTGTATTTGCGGATACAGAGACTGGTTCAGAATGTATAAGACGATTCATGAATGACAGACCTTGTCGAATTCCTTGACGGTGAGAGCGCAGTTCCCCTTCAAGAGCAGTGCGCATCCTAGCAAATAGTGTCCCTGCATCAAACAGAAGCAAGAACAGATGAAGCTCTGAAACCTCTGCACATTACAAATATACGGCCCTCTTCCTCTGAAGCAAGAACAGACATGAACTGAAAATTGGGGAATAATAATCTGTGTCAGTCACCTTGACGGAGGTGTCGTCAAGCACGAGTGCCCTCCTGCTGTCCTCCTCGACCCTGGCCCATTCCTTGTGGCGGAAGTGGCAGAGGCCCCGGTTCACCCAGTAGACGGTGAGCAGAGCTCCAACTGCATTGGTGCCAAATCCTCTGAAAACACCAGGGATGCCATCACTCCTTAATATCTTTCTAAAAACGACAAAGCCAGACATATGTGAAAGTCCTCCTTCAGCAACCTGCATTCTAGTCTTCACAACAGCTGTTGGATGCAGAACACCTTGCTGGGCTGTAAATAAGATTGCCCCAATAACATGAAACTTTGCCTTGTCCAATCTGCAGTGTTATACAAAAGGTCAGTTATTTTGATCACAAGAATATGTACTCGCAAGTTGGTGATGTACCTAACCCCACATGTATAATTACACGGAATTACCAATTACAGTTATAATCCTTTCATGATAACATCCTAGGTTATCAGATCACGATTCGGTGTGTGATTCTACAATCTATGATTTTATGACCACAACAAACAAATGACTCCCCCATTTTCCACATCGAAGTGACATCACCTGAAAAGCTATGTCTATCTTCCACATATAGTGCTAGCGGACAATAAACATCTAGATGAAACACAATCACCAGATTAAACTGTTCAAATTGTGCAAGCACGCAATGCGTTAGTGTTGGAAGGGGCTTCAACTGATTCGGTTTCAAAGGATATACTCCTACAATTCAGATCATTTCAAAGGATTTGAAGAGAAACTACAGATCGTGGGCTTACATTCTCCTAGATCGCCCAATGCCAGAATGAGGTACATCCCCATCCTCATCCCTATTTAACTTGAAAAAGAATAGGATCTTGGGAGGAGCAGCAGGGAGGGGAGGGGAGGGCGGGGGAGCTCACCATGGTCGGGATCTTGCAAGGAGGCGGCGCCGGCGGCGGGGTAGGTGGGCCTGGTGCTCACGGTTCCTGGTGTCGGATCGATCCACTGAAGCGCGTTGGTGGCGTCAAGCCATTGGAGCTCGTCGGCATCGCCCAAGGCGCAGCTGGTTGCGACGGCGACGGCGTGCTCTGCTTGGCCTTCTCTAGCCTCACACCCAGGAGCCCGACCGTCGCTGCTACTGATGGCTCCGCCGCCCTTCATGGTCGCGAGGGGCTAGCAGAAGGGACGGCCAGGAGGAGGATGGAGGCGCAGAGGAGCAGCGGCGGCTCGGGCCGGAGAGAAGGAGGGGAGCGAGAGCGACGGCTGCGCGAGAGATGCGAGGGAGAGAGAGAAGTGAGGGAGCGTGAGAAAACCCTAGCCGTCTCACTCGATTGGGGATGAGTCTGCCAACCAGGGAAAGCCATCTGGCGTCGGGTATGCGAAAAGTCGAAAATGCCCTCGGCGGGCGACGAGAATTTCGACGGTGGCAACGAGATCTTTACCGCTGGGGAGCGCGGACGGGATGCACGAGACGCGTCACACACACAGAATGACACTCGGGTCCCACCGGGCGCGCTACCCCACAAGTCAGCGAGACCCAGTCGGGAACCACGGAGTGAGCGAGATCGCGGGGGAAGAATAACTATTCATTGCTACAGCGCCGTTTTTTGATCCGGCGGCCCAGATCGTCCAGAGGCTTGATCCGACGGCTAGAATCGCATCAGGAAAACGGATCGGGCGGCCAGAATCCACTGAGCTCTGAGGAGGCGCGGGAGTGACTGTCTGGATTGACTTGCCTCGTTCCTACGCGCAAAATAAGCTTTGGGTGGATGTGCAGTTTCATCAAAAACACAGGAAGTGAGTAGTTTTCTTACGAAATTTCTGTATACATTTTCTACAAACCGAATGCATATATAGAAATTTTTTCATCCGAAATTTTTATTTCTATGTTTTTCCCACGAAAATCCTCCGCACCGAACGAGGCCTCAAAACTGTCACGCGAGGCTAGCAGGCTACGTGGAGCAAAGCGGGCTCTGTCCTGCGGCTCAACAACTCCCTCTGGCCTGCTGCGGCCCAGATGGAGTCTAGTCCGTGGCTCGTTGGTTGGCCCAGTTGCGAGAATCACATCGAGAGCGTCGTCTTCAGCAGCCCCTCGCCGTTCTTGCCCGCCGCCGGAGCTTCTGTACGCGCCGCCGGAGAGCCCGGGCGCGTCCCCTAGGCGCGGGTACGATAACACCCAAAGTCCCTACACGGCTTCTTCTCCGCCGCCCCATACCGGCGCGGTACCGTCGGCGCTCGGTGCGCTACCTCTCCGCATCGCTGGCACCGCCGTTTCCGTCCAACCCCATCGCATCCCTGCTGCCTCGACCCCGTCCGCAGTTTTGTTGATTGGTTTCTAAGGTATGAGCACTTTCTTCATCCATGATTTGTTAAACCCCGCTGAACCTCGAGAAATTTTGAGCGTGCACCGGCACGCCGTCTAGATCCGCCCTTGAACCCCCAACCATCGTCTACGTGTTTATCTGCAGCTGCAGCAGAGACAGTGCATGGCGGCGGCGCCACATCACCTGCTGTATGAATTCGCGAAGGCTGCACTCATCAAGATATTTGCATTTCCTTATGCCACGGTCTGTTCTACGCTCCTCTCTTTTCCGATATCCAATTCGTTCTGGTTAGCGAAGAACTGAGCAGCAGAAACCTGATGCTGGCTTGCTTTTACCCGTTGGGAAATGTTGAAGGTCTGCGACATGTACTGCAACGGCGGAGCTGATACAGAAAAGTGGGCTGATGCCCAAGCTGGTCGCTACATAGGAATTGGTAGGTCGACTCACTATAACCTGAGCCCCTACTTGGTTACTTTGTTCAGAGTACATGAAATCTTTTGCCTATAGTGAACTCATTGCTTTCCGTGATAGACGCTTCTGCGTCGGCTGTCAGTAGTGACGACCGTGAACTGTGGGAGAACAAATGGAAACCTTTCACCACTGAGTTCATCGAGTTGAATCCTTCCGCTGTAATCTCCTCTCCCCCACCCCTTCTTACTTGCACGAAATTTAAAGTCTTAAGAGCTGATGGCATGTATGGTGGTCTCTATGACAGGATGACTTTGAAGCTCAGTTGCAAGAAAAGGGCATCCAAGCAGATATAGTTTGCTGCATGCAGAATTTACAGGCAAGTTGGGTTTTCTCCACCTCCGGAATATGGCATACTGTTAAGCTTTGCTAATCTTCAAAGTTTATCCATGTTGAAAGATAGTTATGCTTTGAAAGTGAGGAACACGCAAAGAAGCTTCTCAATAACGTGTCATCATTGCTCAAACCTGGAGGCTATTTCTTTGGCATAATTCCTGATTCATCTACATTATGGTATGGCCCCTCATACCATATATTCTTCAATATTTAAAGATTAGTTACCATCTAATCTTTAATATATATTCTCCAATATCAAATTTAGTTTGAACACCACTATTCTGGATCTTTGTGAGCTTAACGGCATTTTGATGTTGTAGGACTAAATATCAAAAGAATGTTGAGGCTTCACATAATAAGGGTCTGAAGGTTGTTCCAAATAGCATCCGCTCTGACAACTATACAATTACCTTCGAAATCGAGGAAGAAAAGTATGAGCTCAACTTCTGTATCTATTTACATTCGAAAAGGTTTTCTATCTTTAGGTTCATGCATTACATCCAAATGGTGCAGGTTTCCCTTCTTCGGAAAGAAGTACCAACTCAAATTTGCAAATGAAGCAATGTTTGAGAATCATTGCCTCGTTCACTTTCCCAGCCTTATGAGGTTACAATTTTCTCATTCATTTCCAACATTTTGCTGTAGTCTTCCGTTCATGTAAACCAACAACTTGGGTCACAAGGTTTTCACAATATTATAATATGTTGGAGCAGATTAGCAAGGGAGGCTGGACTTGAATATGTGGAGATCCAGAACTTAACTGAGTTTTATGATGACAACAGGTGCCCGTATCTTATTGAACGCCTATGTTATTCCCATGAAGTCATTTAATACATAATGCGTCATAGTAAAATTTATTTGCATAAGTTACTTAAATTTTCCTCCTCTTTTCCAAAGAAATGTAATGTGATTATATACTAATCAATGGTGGATATATCTGATGGTTTATTTTGGTTCTGACTGACTTCCAGAACTCAGTTTGCTCCAATGCTTGGTAGTTGTGGTGCCAATTTGGTTGACCCTCGTGGAAAGCTCATTGCTCGTTCCTATGATATTTTAGGTGATGTACCCTTTTCCTGCATTGGGTTCATCCAAATATTCCAATTCGCTCAGTGCTTAATCTGATTTGTGCAGGCCTGTATTCGACTTTTGTGTTCCAGAAGCCTGATCCAGATGCAATACCACCTGTTGTAACACCTGACCCAGATGAAGAGGTCTGCTCTTCCTTGCCAAGCAGCACTAGATTTTTGTTTACTGTTTCAGTGGTGAGTATTAGTTAACCCCTGATTGAAACAGCAGGAGAGGCTCTGGAGGCAGCAGGCGGCAGCGGATGATTTGAGACGGCCACAGGCAGAGGTGATGCCAATAGACCCTGATCAGAAAGGGATCCTGGGCCCAGGACCTGCAGATATGAGGCTTAATTAGTTTGCCAGAAAATTCAGATGTAGATATAGACTTGGGGTAATTCTGCTCTCTCAGTTGATGGTGCATGGCCATGCTTGTGACCTCCCCTGTGTCGCTAGTTGATCTGAAGCTCATGTCAAAAGGGAAAAAGGTTGATCTGAAGCTCACGCGGGTGGTTGATGCAAGTTTGGGCATTCGTTGAAGTCCACCAGGCCAATTTCCATGTGTGCTGTCATCACCAGTAGTCTATTTCAAGTCATGTTGCATTAGGTCCTAACTAGTAGTACAAGGTATTTTATTATGTAGAGGTACACTTAAGTTGTGTGCTTTGTATAGCATGGCTTTTCAGAATTTTGTGCTAGTGTGACTGTGAAGGACTTATCTTTCTACTACTCCCTCTGTCCCATAATGTAATGTCAAAAAAGTCTTATATTATGGGAATTATGGGAAGGAGGGAGTAGATGATACAACTATTGGTGAAAACAGTTTTGATCAATTGACTGCAGCATAACGTGGATGCACGCCACAATCTAGCAAGAGTTATACCAGCTGATTACACAAAGGAGGTGTTTGTTTCAGAGATTTTTGCCCAGCACCTGTTTACACCGTAAAGGAAAACCGCTACCTGTGTTTGGAAACTCAACTCCGTAAACACGTCCTGCCGTAAACAGGTCCAGCTCAGTTATTGATTGATACCGCTCACAACCCACCGGTAAAGGTTACGTTACCGAGCCCATGAGGCCATGGCCCCCGCACGAACCCCTCCTCCGCCGCCGCCTCCATGATCCTCTTTGAGTCCGGTGCCGGTGCGTCCCCTACTCCCTTTGAATCCCTGCGGAGATCGGAGCAGCCGACGGCGGTGTTCGGGAAGGGTCGGCGGTGCTTGAGACCAGAGGCGGCTGAAAGTGCACATGCCCGGGGACGACCGGTGGTGCACAAGATTCGACCGCCGGCGGCGCTTGGTTTCAGAGATGGCCGGCTTGATTTCGGAGATGGCCGGAGCCGCTTGATTTTGGAGATGGCCGGCGATGCTAGAGATCTTGGGCGAAGCAAGAGAGCGACGAGTAATCAATTCCTTTACCAGATGTGAACTAAACAAACTAAAAAAAACATTACATCTCCTTAAACACCGTGATCTGATTACGTTAACAGTGTCATTACCATTTCTGTAGCCAAACACATCCAAAGTGGGAATATGATAATGTCGTTGCCAGCATCATGTATCTATGATTTATGAAGTATTCATACCATTATATTATCTGTTTTGGATGTTTAATGAGCTTTATTATACACTTTTATATTATTTTTGGGACTAGCCTATTAACCGGAGGTCCAGTCCAAGTTGTTGTTTTTTTGCCTATTTTAGTGTTTCGCAGAAAAAGATTATCAAACGGAGTCCAAACGGAATGAAACCTTCGGGAGAGTTATTTTTGGAACAAACGCAATCCAGGATACTTGGAGTAGACATCAGGGAAGCAACGAGGTGGCCGCGAGGGTCCAGTGCGCGCCCCACCCCCTGGGCGCGCCCCCACCCTTGTGGGCCCCTCGTGGCTCCCCTGACCAAATTCTTTCGCCTGTATATATCCATATACCCTGAAAACATCGAGGAGCACAATAGATCGGAAGTTC